GAAATAGAGAATGCTAAATTCCTCCTCACCTAAAGTGACCTATATGAGCTACCACCTTTTGTAACCGACAATTCCTCCACTCCCGGGGCCCACCATGCATTCCAGCCCAGCTCCCCACTACCATCCACCCCAGAGGGTAGCTCCCACCCAATGATTAGCAAAACTTCTCCTCAGCAACACATGGATAGGAAACTCTTCTTGGACAGGTGCCGCAAATGAGCCTTATTGACAGTGGAGTTTCCAGCAGAGGTCTGTGGAAGCAACTTCAGGCATTTCTCCCACAATCCAGCCACACCAGGGAACTGTCAATCATACTCCCCCACACAACTTAGTAAATGATTCATCTTTTCACCTAACCTTTCTCACTTGTTCCAATGGCTCTTATTTTATTACCCAGGGTGGGGGGATATTTCTACTCACCTTCTGTTACCGGTTTCTAAATTTGAAACTCACAGAAAATCTAGTATCAAATAAAAGCAGCTCAGGAATTTTACACCTGCATTTAAAATGGCACATATTAGATGTCAACTAATTTAATTTTCAAGGTTTTAAGATGTTTTTAATTTTTGGGGGGTTTGTTATTGTTTTTTTTAAAAAGCCAACTATTTTTTAAACTCTCTTTCCTTAGTTGGTGTCACCTTCTGAAATGTCAGGATCTGTGTTCAACCAACCCAAACTGGCTTGGGGAAAAAAAAAAAAAAACAATATTTCTGGGAATTTCTAAATACTGAGAATTGTTTAGGCACCAGTATGGTCTGGAATAATTTATTTAATCTTTCTCTTAAGGTTCCTTAAGTAGGGAGAGGGAGATAAAAGGTTTCCTACTGGCTCACTCTATAGTTCTTGCTTGACATATATTTTATGCGACATCAAACAGAAATCTGCTGAGATGCTCACAAAGATATCTTTGAGAAGCTCTTTAGGGAAACTATTGTCACCGTTGAGAGAAATGACTACAGATGTACATGCAGTCTCCTCTACAGTGCTGTTTACAGCCACACTTTACTTGTTCAGTGGGAAGGTTTTGATTCCATGGTTTGGGGCAGCTTAATTATCAGCCTTCTGAAAAGAGATTCATGTAGGTAGAACAAGTCAGAATTGTATTTCTAGTCACTTCTAATTATTTGTAAAACTGTGAATGATAAATACAAAAAAGTAGATGACAATGTTTTTTGTTTTTTTTTTTTAATTGAAATTAGGAGAGTTTGATTTGAAGGAGGTATTGTATTTTAAAAGCAAAGGCCTAGAATAATAACACATTATATTGCAGGTGCTGAAAATTCCTAGTTGTATGTTCAGTTAGTCATGCTGGCCCTCCAACTCTGATTGCTCACTCATAAGCCAGGAATAAGGATATCTGCTGTGAATACCTCCTCTACTAGGTGTGATAAAATGAGAAAATGGATGACAAGGCGCTTTGTACAATGTGAAGAGCTATTCAAATGCAGAGCATTATTTTTAGAATGCAAATGGGATTATAGAAACTCCACTGTGAGATTTTAAATGGTAAACTTGTATCCAAACACCTAAAATTAATAAACTTATTTCTATAGTTAGTGAACAGGCACTTGCTGGCTCTTTATATGTTTACATGTCTTACCAATTTTTCTCTCTAAGCTTCTCATTAGTTATATGGCATTCTATATAAGCTTAATTCTACAATATGTTTGTTATTGCTAGGCAAAATGCATGATTGAATTATATTCTTTATACATATATACTAACTGGAAAATATGTATTTATATTTTAGAAAACACTATATCTACTAAAGCCAACTGAACAAGAAAGCATGCTATGTTTTCTTTTGACTATAATTCCAATAAAGACTTCAAAATTCAATGATAGCATTTTACAATTATGAGAATACCCATTAAAGCATTGTCTAATGAGAGATTAAAAACATTTTGCTAAAAAATCTTAACTACATATAAAAAAAATCAGACAGAGTTTTATATAGTAATACTTAGATCAAAATAATTGAAAGGAGTGTGAAATAGTGTGAAAAGGAAGCATTTGACTACTACAACATTTATAATTATGGAATAATTGAAGGAAGAAATCAACTGAACTTATTTGGTAGAAGAAAAAGTGAGAGGCAGAATTTGGAAAGTAAATAGTAAGGATAACTAGAAAGGGGTAATTGTGCTATGCTGATAATCTATAAACTGGATCAAGGAAACCCATATTCAGAATTATCATAACGTTTGAGCTAATTGCTCAGTTCCAGTGGTTTGCCTCAGTACTGCACCTACATCTTCCACTACCCATGAACCTCCCATTAGTTGGTAAAAAAAACTCATTAAGGTTTTCAGTTTTCTGAGCAATGCAATAGGAAATGCAGAAATAATTTTAATTTTGTGGAGTAATAACTAGCTTTTAATTTTATGGAATCATAAATCAAGTATTTGGGGGCTAGATAGGGCTAAAGAGAGCAAAACAACTATTTTATTTTAGAAAAATAGCTCTATTTTATATATATTTTTGGATTAAATTTGGAGGTAATTTTACAATCACTCTCGTGTGGTTCCTATCACTGGCAGTGGCGCTCTTCCTCGGGGAAAACTTCATAAATGTTGGGATTAAGTTCGCGACAGACAGAAACTTGCTTTCCATTCTGAACACAGCCATGGAGTCACGTTCAGATACATCTCCAGAGCAAGGGATCACAGGACTGGTCTTCCTCTCTCTAGTAGCATGCAGAAATTGGGAAGGGGGTAGAATGTGGGAGAAACAGGGAAGCATTGCCTAGAGAAGCCCCACCCCACTATTCAGTCACATGGATATGTCAGCACTGGTGCTTTTATTTGGTGATAATTTTTCTATCTATCTTAGAATGTTTCTGACATACAACTTTGTTCTGCTCCCAAATGTTCTATACTACAGCTCTTACTGGCAACGGAGCAGAACTATAAATACTCTACTGCAAGGAATCAAATGAGAAAGCAAAGACTGACACACTCATTTTAAGCTGTATCATATAACAATGGCTCAGAACCCAGGAGTTTATGAATGAAATAAAGATACTTTATTTATTACACAGGCACTTGGATATTCACATGCCCAACACATCTGATACACTTAACAACTAGGGAAACATGAGTGGAAAATGTCTGCTTGAGGATGAGACCTTTCACCATGTAAAGGTGAATGAGTGCATTAACAATTTTTCCTTTACTTCCCCCTAAGAATTTCCAAAATCCACTGAATTTTTAAAAGATACACTTGAAATAATATGCAACAAAAACTGATCTACATTCCAACTGGTAGGCTAACTTGAATGTGAGCAGTTTAAACGTTATCACAATGCACATATTTATAATCATGCTTGAACAGATTAGGTTAGTAGCATGCATTCCATTCTGCAATATGAATACTGTTAATCTATTTCCCAACAAAAGTCAAAAGATGCCCAGAGCATAGAAAAATACAAATCACTGTTGTCAATATATTATGGGATTGATCTTGGGACTTACACAGTGATGATGAAGTCCTGAAATGCCATGCCCACAAAAGCACATTAAAAAGTGGATAAACATATTTTATCAGACAATCCCTAAAAATTAAAAGATGAGGACTTTAAATTTGGGGGATGTTCTTGCTGTGTGCTTTGAATTAGCGCCTTTCTGCTCACCTCCTTCTGGCTTGACTGGTCCATCAGACATCACCTTCCTGAGGGCTAGCTGGTTTTGGTCTTGGTTGCCATTGGCTGGTGGAGGCATATTATCAGACTGAGTTCTTTGAATGGGGAGGACTCCTGCTATGCTGTGTCTGTGCTGCTTCCTGGCATGATTAGACTGACCGCTTTTATGTGCTGCTGTGGCAGTGTGGGTGAAATGGAAACCCAGAGTATGTATCCTCAGATGGAACCAGCTTAAATGTTATTCATGCAAACAGAAGTGTTCTTTTGCTGAATTTAAATAAGTAGTGCTCTCAAATGCCAAAATGACACCACATGCACGCACTAAAGGGGGTTAAAACTGGCTGTTTCTTAGGCAATGATGACTTTGGGAGATGGGGAGAACATGGAACTGTCTCCATTATCTGGCCAATGCCTCTTGCAAGTAACAGTGTATCTACACGTGTAAGATGTCTGCACTGAAGTTTTTATATAGTTCTAGCAATTGACTAAATTTTCACATTTAAATGAAAATATAGCATTAAGATGGCCGGACTGCTAAGTTTTAATTGGTATCTTGACTTTCAAAGAATATTTCTAATGCTTAGAGGAAAAAACCCTATAAATTCTCTTTTATACAAAGTGAGATCCCGCAGAACGGACCCAATGCTCCTTAATGAGGTTACTTTGCCTCATCACATAAGCTTAATGTTATATACTTTTTTTGAGAATATAAGAAACATGATTTTCTTGGCAGATTTTTTTTCCAAAAGACTAGAAAGTTTCCCACATGGAAAGCTACAATGTCTCACATGCATAATTTATTAAAGGTTTTAAGCACTAGCTTGAAATGGCTTTTTCCCCAAGGTTCTAGACAGAACCTCACTCAATCAGTCACATTTCTGTTCTGCCTAAAATTTTTGAGTGTTTCCAGTTGGGAGAACCTCTTTGCTAATCTCGTGGAAATGTCTCCATGTGTGCTTTTTTTGCTGTAATGCCTGGAAAATCGGCAGCTACTTGTGCTTATGATTCCTGTAGTCTAACATATATTTAAGCGCACAAAAACAGAACACACACCGAACACTGTGTTTCCTGCAAACATCACAGACACAGCTACCAAATACTATGAGCTGGGTTGGATGGACAGTGGAGACAAAGGAGAAACAGCCAGTTTTACTGCAGTCTATGTAAATTAAAAGAAAAAAATCTAAGTAAGAAAGAGCATATTTATGTACTGAGTCTATTCTTACACAGACAAAAGGACAGAGAACAGAGTGAGCAAGGTATGCCAAAAACAGAAAGCAAACAGGAAAGGACAGCAGGAAGGAAAGGCAACAGATGAACATTAAGCTGCCATGCTGAGGAACTTATTTGCGTCTTTTACTTGGTTGCAGGCGGAGCTGTTGCACGGCGGCTTCTGCAGCTGCGATTGCAGCCCCTGCATCTTCCAAGTGGGTCTGAGTGACGCTGGTTTTGCTTTGACTGCGAGACGGTCCATGAGAGCGGAGGTGGCCTTCAGAGGAGGATTTCGAGCTCCCGGGACTGCTGTGGGATTTCTCAATGGTGGGAACCTGCATGTCTGGCCACAAAAGGGTAAAATGTAAGATCAAGTTGCTCCAGTATTCCTCTGGTTGAGCTCGGTTTACACATAATTTGAAATTGTCTAAGATTTATGTTAATTCTGTTTCTTTTTTGGCTTATTTATGTAACTGCTCGCCCAACAGTGATGTGATTAAACAAGTTGGGGGAGGAGAAGCAAAAGGATGATAGTCTTCAGAAGTGATAAGCTTGAGAAGAGGAATACATTCTAATTATCCTCAAATAAATGAATATATTAACTTAGAGTTTCACCAAGCATCTCTGATAATTCTAGTAGGGATCAGGTAAGAGACAACAGGCTAACACTGCAACAGGAGGCTTTTTTTTAGTAAAAATGTAGTGAATCCTGGGTGGAGAGGTGTGAGTCACTAGGATAAATGGTAATTAGACTGTAGATCATGGTCTTGATAGCCAGAGAGAGAGAGAGAGAGAGAGAGAGAGAGAGAGAGAGAGAGAGAGAGAGAGAGAGAGAGAGAGAGAGAGAGAGAGAGAGAGAGTCTTTATTCTATGATCTTCCAGAATGTTAATCAGGACAGAGTTGCACTAAATGGATTCCATAAATGATATATAAAACTCATCCATAGTAATCTTTGGCACTCAGTGAAGTCGGTAGCTTATTACATCAACTCAATGGCCTACTGGACAAGAGCTCAGTTTTCTATCTCCTAGAATGCATGCACTTATGATCTAACGTGCAAAGAGCCTTTTTTCAATCTGATGTGCTTTCTGAGGAGAAAAGGAAGCCCACATGTAGGCCTAATATAAAAAAATTACATTTAAAACTTATAAATAGTTCGATACCACTAGGTAAGACACTACATGGGGCTTATCTCATATAGGCAGTAACTCAGTTTATGATGAAGATTACTGTGTTGTAAGATAACTGGTAATAAGCTTCCCCGGGTTTTAAAAAGCTCATTTAATGGGAATGTAACATTGTTAAACCCAGCATATGACAATGCTATTAATAAAATAATAATTTCAAAAAAATCATAAAATTAGCTTGAACCAAACCATAGGAAAAGTTTAAGTAAAGGATGAGTTGATATATTTTAGCATGCCAATTGTTCTGGTGATATGGGCAAAATTTTTGGCCTAAGTAAAAAGCAGGACACCAAATTATATATGCTATGTATTATGCATATACTATATGAAAAAATGAGTTTAAACAGAGGTTTATGTCTAAATGGTAATGATAATTATGTCTAATCAATGACTTGATGAGGATTTTAATATTTTAAAATTAAATATCTCAATGCATTTTATAAAATCATATGATCATAGATTTTTAAAAAATATTTATTTATTATATATACAAGCACTGGGGTACAGTCTAGAGGCACAGGAGGGTGAGAGGATTCATCCGAGATACAGAAGATACACCCGAGCAGAACAGGCAGAAGGACCAAAATACACTGCTGAGGGAGCAGCAGGCGAGACAGGAGAGGTCTGCCGTGCCATATGGGCATCTCCCTGGTTGGCAGGGAATCAAACTGGTGCTGCAGAGTCTGTGGACAGCTTCATAGTTCTGTGTTCAACCTGCTGTGCCACCGGGGAGGCCCCCTGATCATGGATTTTGAGAGCTGAAAAACACCCAATGGCTCTTACAGCCTGACCACCTCCATTATGTTGAAAAACTGAGTCAGTGGTGAAGATCACAGTCATGAACCTAATTAGGGACCTGATATGAAACTAAAACCCAGTTCTCCTAACTCATATCCACTACAGTTTACATGATATTACATTCAATATTTTCCAACAGAATTCAAGCTTTCAAAATATATTAAGTACACAGGCACTCGTACAAGAAGACACTGAGTGAACAAATAGACAAAAGCGTTTTCTACTTGAAATATCTCCTACCCTTGGATGGGTCAGGGAAGATACCATGGCTTCTGCTTTTGATGACGGATGGCTTTGGGGACTGTTGGCTGCTCTGACTGGAATGTGACTTCCCATGATCAATGCTTTCAGTCTGTTCTTTGAGAGGATACCACCTAGGAGTGTTATCGAGGTGAGATGTGCTAGATAAATCAATCAATACCTGAAAAAAGAGCACAATCATCAATAGAATTTATGGATTGAGCTATAATTCATTCATTACTTTTTTCTGTGACCTGAAGTTTATCCAAAGATATAAGCCTAAGGACATAGGAAAGTCGTTCAGAATGGTGAGGCTATCTTCCTCTTATTTTCTTCACGATTGATACTGTAAACAGTGTGTTGTGCAAACTAGATGATTAATGAATGTTTGGTTAAAGTGAACTGTATAAAATCTTTCATCATTAATTTAATGATTTGGAGATGATGTGAAACGGCAGGGTCACAACCTGTTCATGAACTAAAGTTAGCATTTACAAAGATTATTTAATTTTAGTTACATGGAGGACAAAATGAAAAAGAATGGATAATTTGCAATTATTAACTTATTTCTTCTATTTTAAAACACTTTATTTCACATTTGAAATAGGGCCATGACTAACAATTGATGGTGAGAAAGCAATGTGTCATAGTTTAATTGGCACTATTTTTTTTTTCTTTCACAGTGATTCATAAATCATGGTGCATTTTACAGTTGCTGGCATATTAGATTTGATGAGATATAAAGAATGAAAACCAGCCTTTTGGATTTATGCTGTAGTTCATGTAAGCACAAGAAGACAGTATATTAAAAGAACTTCACTAAGTCAATCTTTGAAATGGGGCATTACATCAGAATACATGACGACAGCCTAGAGTAGTCCTTCCTAAGATCAAGGTTAGTCAGGTGGATGTGTCAGCATGGAACCTGCAGGTGAAGGTCAAATGGTTAATTCTGATGGGAAATGTAGGTACAAAATCCAGCAACTAAACAAGTCCTCAGTCAACTATACTAAACAACTGTTTTCTTTTGTTCTGTCAATAGGATATTATATATTTTAGGTTTTGTATTTTATGTACATAACTATTTTTAACATTAATTCATAACTTTTGCTCAAAGCAAAGAGCACTAAACAAAATACGTACTTTTGATGAAAAAAGTCACAGGATCTGACAAGTTGATGAGATTTTATACTTAGGTTATATTCCTTATGAATATATATATAAAACCATTCCTGCTGCTAGTTTTACAGCTCAGAATACTTTGAGAAAATTTTCATGGAAAAATTAAATAAGAATGCAATGTTTCACATCAAATCATTTATACATCAGAGGAACTGGAATTAAATAATGTGAAAATGCATTTTAAGTATTACAGCTCATTTTACAATAACTTTTTATTTCATATCTGTAACGTAATCATTTGGATTCACAGTATGGTTATATAGCTTCCTATAAAAAACAATACATGATCTTGCAAATTAACTATGAATTGTATAAAGTGCTAAAGTTAGGACCATTCCTAACCATTCAAATAGTAAATCAAGAAATAAATTATACTGACAAAAGCATTTTATCCAGAAATGGTTATCTATATTTAAAAACTTTGCTTCACATCAAGCTTTTATTGGTAGTTTACAATGAAAATAAATAAGGAAAAAGAAATCAGAGACTCACCTCACCAAGGAAGTCATTAGAAGAAAATCTATCATAATCCCAGACTGTCACCTCCAGTGTTTTCTTCTTGAGCTAAAGTCCAAATCAAAATGTCATTAGCCTCACTTCTTATCAAAAATTTTCATTATTCGCATATAATAAACATTTATTTTACTTCTTTGAACTCTTTCCATTTATGTAAAAATACTTTGTTTTATTTAAAACTGTTGGGTTATAGTAAACATTATATAAAATGTGAATGATTTTTGTAGTGTAACCTAGTGTTTGATCATGAGGGACCTTACAGTTTTGCGTAAAAAAAAATAACGACAATTTTTACTTCTTTCTGTTAATTAAACTCCCAACTTCCATTTTAAAGAATAGAAAGCAAAATTTATAAAAACTCTTTAAATCCACAGAATTCATTGGCTACAAATTGCTTTGGATATTTCAAGAAAGTATCTAGATTCTAGTTTTCTGTTTAATAATTGCCAAAAACATAGCATTGTCTTAATTCTGTAGGTGAATTTAAATTTAAGAATTCAGACTACACATGAATTAAACGTCATAGTTGAATTATAAATCTTCCAAAAGACAAGTAATAAATCTCATCTAAGAACTCATTTATAAATTGTTTCATGCAGATGTCTTTTTCCTATTCTGCTAATATTCTTTTCCTTCTGAAAAGAAGCTATTAGTTTACTTCCTTATAAGTTATCAGTTTACTTCCTATTATTCATACAAACTTATGACATGAAGATTTTCAGACACACATTGACACAATTTTGTCTAGATTAACATATCTGTGATGGTGATAGTTCTTTACAATAGACATCTTTATGTCTTCAGTACAATTTAATCCCACAAATACTCTTTAAAGGACTCAATTTAGAGAAGAGTTCCTGAAATATTGCTTGGTGGGATAATATATTTCTATGCTTTCAATCTTCTTTTTCTTTGTATTCTTGATGTAAGTCTACACATAGCCACCTATATTTTTTGCAATAATTTATATATCAAATCATTATGTTGTACACTTAATGTTATATGTCAATCATATCTCAATATAACTAGAAAAAAATTAAGAAAGTACTCAAATTAAAAAAATACATATGGCCAGTTGGCAGTTGGAAAATATTTTCTCTCAAAATAGGATAGATAAGATTCAATCTATAGATATATTTAAAATTTTTAAGCAATCATAGGAATCAATCATTCATTGGTTTTTTGACAGCTTCATCAAACTCTGCATATTTCCTTTCACTGTATCTTTGACCTGTATCCATTTCCTTCAGTGACTACATTTCTTACAAAATCCTTTTATTTCTTATTTAATCTTTATTGGTTGTATGGCAAAACTGATAGAGATGGCAGTCTTTCCATAATTTTGGCATTGTTTTTCTTGCATTTACCTAAATCGATCACATAGAAAATAATCATTGCATACCTGTTCCATGGAGATACTTTTATAAATTACTGTTTGATTCCACTCGGGGTTAAGGCTTTTCTGAACATACTTAGTTCTTCTCTTGTACTCAGCACTGAATTGGAAGAAAAGAGAGTGTCATCTTGAACAATTCACCTTAACTGATGACTTCAAAGTCAACATGAAGAGCATGCAAACTTTTTAAGATATTGTGTTTTGAGTCACTATGTAATCATCTCATCATCCTCATGTCTTCAAACTTATTTTAAATTGAATGCACAATGACAATTTAAAAATATGTTGGATACTTTGGTTTTATTTGTTTGAAAGTAAGTAGTTTTTAAAGAAAAGCTTTTAGGTGTTAAAACTGTATTATGGTTTTAGAAATCTTACTCTGTTCTGAATGTAGGCGATAATTACATGAACCATATAAAATAACCAATATCTTCTTCCTCTCATAAATTATAATTTGGTATTGAACTTTCCTATAGTTTTACACCTAATCATGTTGGCAGAGCTAAGCAGTCTTTCAATTATTTTTTTCAGTAATTAAGTGTGATAATTGGGGAAAAGGGAAAGGATAAAAATGGTTGTTACTATAGTTGAGATTTCATGAACATTTTTTACCTTTAGTTAAAGAATACAGTGCTTTTAGTAAAGTAGGATACTTAGATATTTAATCTAGTTACATATTGATTTAAATTAAATATAAATTCTTGGTTTATACCAATAGCTTCTGTTAGAAATGATGAATCAAATACAGAATTTTCCCCTTCATTATAATTTGGGGCATTTACATTTACCCTTAAATTTTCACTCACTCTGAGTAACACTTAGGATCTTATATCCTATAAAGGCAACTTATTATTTTAATTATGTCTGAAAGAACATCTATAACTGACATCAAACATTTGATGGGGTAGAATTATTGTTCTCTGCTATTTGTCAATGATGCCCATGCAGACATGGGTTTCATTCTCAGGTCCTTGAAACTTATTATTTCTGGTCAGCACCAGAATCCCCCAATTTAACCAACTTGTCTGGGTCCATACAAGTTGCCTTTTCTAAAAGTAACTGGATGCTGACCCCTGATCCGTAGTTGTAGTACCTACTATAGGCACACTGATTCTTGCTACATTCTTGGTCTCAAGCATTGCCACAAACTGCAATGGCCACTATTGTTCCCCAGACACTAATTTACTTATCTGTTCTCAATAAAGCTTTTGAGAACCAAGTACCACTCAAATAGAGAGAAAATATCTTTTCTCTCTATCTTTATTCTCTTTCTTTATTGGCCATAGGTAAGGTCAACAATCACCTTTAACTATATATCGGAATCACCTTGTGATCTGAGTCCCAAGGGTGGGAGGTGGGACAGCCATCAATGTATACACATCTCAGTGCTCTTTGCCCTCAAGGAAACTGTGATTTAATAACTCAGGAATAAGACTTGATATCAAAATTTTTTAAATATTCTGGGTAAATCTTATGTATAGCCAAGATTGAGAATAAGAGTTTACATTTGTAAAGACTCATTTATCAACCTTGTGAACTGAAACTAAATTAAGAAAAAAGCAGTACTCTTTCCACATCTAACAGACCTATTTGAATATATGAAAATAACAGCAGGATTTAGCAATTTTGTCATTTAAGATAAACTGCAAAAATTTGGGGGAAATTTCTATGCAATGATTTGTAGAAAAAGATACTCTCATAGACTGTAGACAGAAAGTATAAATTTATAACATGCTTTTTAGATAAAATTATGATATCTAGTGAAGTTTTATTTGATGTTCCCAAAGACCCAGAAAACTCAACTTTGACTTTACTTCTATCTAGAGAAATTCTCCGACCTATGCATAAGGAATTTCCTCAGGAACATGAGCTGCAACATTGTTTGTAGAAGTATGTTAATAAAATAATGAACATACTGTGATATATTCATTCAGTGAAATTTAAGCCACATTAAAATGAATGAAAATACTTCCATTTATCAAGGTAGATAAACCTTGAAAAAAAAATCTGGAGCAAAAAGTTTGTAGGAAAAAGGAAAACTAAAGTAAACTATCATGATATAAAATTAAAATCATGTGAATTAATACTGTAAACTATCCATATCTCTATATATGTACAAAAGACATACATTTGTATGAAAGGATAGCTGTATGAATTATAAAATTTGATTTAGTGGTTATCTCAGGAGGTCAAGAGAATAGTTTCAGAGGCCTTACAGGTATCTCAAAATATTTTTTTATTTAAAAAAAAAGAAGCCAATATAGAAGAATGTTAACATTTGATAAAACTGGATGACAAGAACACAGGTATTTGTCATTTTATATAATATTCATTAAATTTGAAATATTTTATATTTCAAAATATTTTATTTTGTTATTTTATTATATTTCAAAATAAAAATATAAAATTATTTTGGTAAACTGGGCCCTTATATATTTTATCCATTTTATTTTTTAAAATGATGATATAAGAGAAACAGAAAAGACTTTTAGGTTAATAGCAAACTTGCCATTCCTATTATGCATTTATACTTAGAAGAAACACACATGGTACAATGAATTTTAAAGATTCTATTTGTTTTGGACATAGATATCAAGGGAATGTGATCATGGGAAAAACATTAAGGATAAGATTCATAATATAGTGAGTGGTAGCAAAACTATTTTTTTAATTCTGAAAAATTGAATGAATAAAATTATTTTAAGAAGATGTAAGATAGAAATTAATGTCAAATTCAAACTCGTATATTAAAATTCTGTCAATATAAACATAAATAGCCTGCATTATTGAAATGCATTTAAAGGAATTTATTAGTTACCATCTTCATCTATACATATGCAAAATTTGTATAATTTTTCACATGAGTATTTATTGTTTTCACTTATACATATGCAGTAAAAATTAGTGGGTGAAGTCTGTACCAGGAACTGTGCTCTATTAAAATACATTACTGCAAAATCCTTCCTTAATTTTATTGACATGCCATTATATATTTCATGCATGAAACACACTTTCTAAGTGCTTTTCATGTTCTAAGTGCTTTTCATGTGTTGATTCATTTAATCCTTACAGAAACTCCAAGACCAGTATTATTTTTCTATTTTATAAATGAAAAAACAAAACAAACGCAACAACTGAAGCTCAGAGGAATTAAGGCATGTGGGAAAGGTTGCAGAGTTACTAACTCATAGGGCCAGTATTTAAACATATAGAAAACGATTCCTTGCTTTGATATATATGCTATGTAAACTCAATTAGGGCCTCATAAAATATGACTAACCCATTAATTTTCTCAATTGTAGGCTTTATTAGTTGAAGTGTCTAGTTTTTCTTCTTTACCTTATAATCTAATGTTTTTCACCTCAATCTCAATATATTTAAATATTTAATTACATGTAATAAATGTAGTAAAATTAGTGTAGTTTTAGGGTTGCGTAGGGAAACTCTGGATCATATAACCTTAATAGTGTTTTGGAACAACTAGGGATAATTATTATATTTATTTTTGCCCAGATAGACTTAGAAAAAACATAAATTAATTGGGAAAAACTGTAGATGTTCATTTGTAGAATATCTTAATTTTCTTAATGATTCTGAGACTCCAGTTCTCTCCAGATTCAAGATGCCCATTGGTTTTACAATTAATGGAGGTAACTACAACTTACAGCCGAGCTTGCGTCCACCAGCCCTAGTAGACCTGTGTAAATGCCAATGACATACTTGGCACTTTTTTTGCACTTGAATTTCCTGACACAAATGGCTGCACAACATTATTCCTTCAGTAACACTTCTTTTATAATTACCATCTTCTGAATATCTTGCCCATGATCCCAATAGGCTGTGTCTCCACTTTACCCAATTGTAAGCTCTCTGTAATTCTCATCTCATATTAAATCCTATGGATTGAAGATGGCCAAGAGGATTCTTGAATGTGAGCACAAATTAAGGTTGAGAAAAAAGTGAAGCTCATTTTCCTTTTCCTTTCTGTCTGGTAAACACACTGTATTCCCTCATGGGAAGACTATAATGATTATCTTATATTAGAACAAATAGACCATATGTGATAATCAGAGAACTGTCTTAATAAACAACAATATAAAAGTCAATCATAGGACATGGTACTTAAAAAAAAAGTAAACCTTCATTACTTTGAAGTTATGACAATTTCTTCTCTCGTTATTTAAATTAGTTACTTTCTCAAAAGTAAACTGCTGTTAAGGATCAAGGATACTTGAAATTCAATTTCACCCTAAACCGGAAGGAAAAAAAGAGTTCTCTGAATTTTTCTTTTTAAATTCAAAGGAAAATTTGAGAATGAAGGGTAGGACATGGCTTCTCAGTATTTAAATTTCATGGAATTGTCTAAAATATGGAAGGTCTTCATTTATCTTATATAGTGTTCCTTTGTTGGAAAAATATATTTCTTTATTGGAAAAATGAGCCCCCTAAGGATACACACACACACACACACACAATTATTTTCAAAATTAGTCCTCAAGGGTGTTTCCTTTCATTTAGAAAGAAGCACAGAGCCTATCCCAAGTTCTGTTTTCCTCTGGGACAGTGAGTTGTGGCCTTTTTACTCTCCTAGACTTCCTCCACTCGGAGACTTTGGCTGTGTTGTCAACTCTAGCCCCATCACCTAGCAGAGTCTAGAGAAGTCTGTGTTAAATAATTATTTACTGATAGATTTGAAACATATTTGTATTTTAAAACCTTTCAAATTAAGTTTTGTCTCTGAATTGTAAATACATACAACTCTGTACTTGTTTTACACAAGTCTGGGGCGAAAAAGTGTGATGCTAACAAGGTATTTATGTCAGGAGAAAGACTAGCCAGGAGTTGGGCTTGTGGGTGTCATGATAGCTAGAGCTAGTTAAATCATAGCAAATCTCAGTAATGGGGAAAGCCTGGACTCTGCTGAGCAGTATGGTGGGAGAAAACCAGAATGAGATCCTTCAGACATGCTCATCTCCATTTCTCATTTATTCAGGAGCAAGAGTCCAGAAGCACATGGACTCCTCAGTCTCTTTCCTTCTCTTTCTTTTACTTCATCTTGACGGACATTTGGACTCTTAGAATGTATGTGTCCATTAATCAAATGGTGGGAAGGAAAAATGGAAGGCAATAAGAAAACAGGCCCAGTGAAATTCTTATTAACAGGGCTTTTTTTTTTAAGATTTTAAGATGATGGATGTATTGCATTTTATTATTGAAAAAAAAGTTGTTTGCTTTTCTATATAGTATTGTTAAATAATTTGGTGTAATTCAGTGGCAAGTATTCCGTATCTCTTTTTTTTTGCAGATACCTGATCATGGGTACATGAAGTTTATTATACGTATTATTAAGAATAACAGCAACTGTCATTTATTGAGAAATTATGAGTGAGACATAATGCTTATTACTGATGATGCATTTTTCCATGTTTTTCAGAGAAATCCTTGAAGGGGGGCTATTGCTATTTCAACTTAGCAGAAGACATTATTTTACAGAAATCTCACGGCTTCTAAGTAGAAGGGCTAAAATTCAAATCCAAGTTCTTAATGATTTCATTCAATGCCTCCTTGGTCTAATTTACACTGTCAGTGTCTTATCATTATAATTCCTTCTCACATTGACAGCTCTCTAAGAAATGATGAAAGTGAATTCTAGATGAACGACATGATGATAAAGTGACTTCTAGATCTTCTAAATTATAGCCCAACACATCCCCAGGTCTTTTCATCGTTATTTATATTTATAAAACAAGCTCTATGTAAAATGTAGATAATTACTGTCACTGATAATTTCCCACTAGTTCCTATATAAAAGATGGGAAAATTCTGAATAAAGTAATAATGCCTGATCTAAAATGACACTTCTAAGTTAAATAGAAATAATTTGGCAAATTGTCCGAAATTCCTGTATGGTGTCCTGAGATGAAAGAACCAGTCATAGTAAGCAATACCTGTTTTATAAATTTTAGTTATAATTATGTGTGTAGAAGGACATGAAAAGTTTCTGGGTACTAGAAAAGCTAAGGTGACTCATTTTTTGAAATATTTAAATGTTTATGCCTTTAAAATCAGAAACAGCCTCTATCGGGCCACAGTTCATCAGTATTAGTAAAGATATCAAATTCTGATGTCACAGACAAAAACAAATCCATTAATAGTCTAGGTGGGATTAAAATTCTCATTACCTTATTGCTATAGATGGTACAGGATTTACCTCCCAAATAAATAGCACTTGATGTAATTTGTAATGTAATGAGATGTACAGAAAAATGGTTTTGGCTGTGTTCTAACAGCCTTAGGTGACAATGTAATAATGTAACATTATGAGCTGTATCAGAAAACACTTTTCTCCTACTATATTGGCAAACAAAGAAAGATGCTGTTATCGTTGTTGTCTTTGGACTAAAGCAGTCAGATTATGGTATCCCATATTACATAACAATAATTTTGTGGTGCAGAAGGTATAAAGGCATGGAATTATTTCAAAATCTGGCCAAACAGAAGGAAAGAGGGCAGGCAACTTGCCTTTAGAACAGATGCATACCTAATATTGACATCTAGAAATCAGTTAATTCCTTATGAAAATGACTCTAGATTTTTAAAATTGTAATAGAAGACCCAGGAGAATTTAAGCCATGATTCTCACATGAGAAGGTAAATTAATTTTAGTAGACAAATTAGAACTGAAACTCTAGTTTCATAAAATTTCATATGATATTTCCTTATTCATACTTTTCTGTGTCCAGTATTTTCTAATCTTCTGTATTCTATTGCATAATCTGCTAAACCTGTTTAGAAATGTGGTAAGAAAATTTTGCTATAATTCAACAGATACTAACATGGAGAAGAATAGAAACCACAGCCCACGTTAAAATGCAGGTGAACTGTTTGCAAAAATACAAAATAAAGAACTCTAGACATTACAGCATAGCTTGACACTGAAATAGAACCAACTCTACCTTGCATTCTGGACAACCATGACTTGACTGCATTGATTCCAAGAGCGAGAGTGAAGGATATAACAGGAAAGTAGGAAAGACAGGAAGAAAAAAGTTAGGAACAGAAATAAGGAAGAAAATAGAATAATAAACAGAGGATCTATACCATAACATAGACCACATGGAGAAAAAATATTAGAACTAATTTGAAAATAGCACCTCACAAGTATAATAAATCCCATTGCCTTGGACATTGTAAAAACTAGGAGCAATCTAATGAAAGGACAAGGACACGAATAGCAGTAGCTTATTAGCTGCCTCTGGAGCAAATGCTACCCAGCAGACATGTCTTGCTTGACAGAGTGCAGGGGGATGGCTTCAGGTATAAAACTCATTCATTTTATTACAGTTTCTACTTTTACCTGTCACTCATCCCAGATGAAATGACATATTCATGTTACTTGCCCTTTCTGGTTATTTAAGTGTGATATCCTAAAAGAAACGTATCCTGTAATAAATAAAAGATAGGCTTTCCCTGATAGTATAGAAGGCAATACTCCAGGATATTATTAGAGAAGATAGAAAATAACGGATAGTAATTTTCTTTCATTCATTAACAAATGCTAATTAGTGAATACACCCTTGGCAGTGATTTTCTCTTGTCTTGTAAACTTGTGATTAAATAACACTGAAAGTCCAATGACGTAAATCAAAGGCAGAATGAAGCATCAGTTTGTTGTTGTTACACTCATGTTCAAATATGTAGCCAAATTACAGCTATAACTATATATAATAAAGACACAAATTAACGTAAAACAATTCCCTTTCCCGAGCTAAGTAGCTAGCCGATAATCTCTATAAATTAAACTAAAACTAGAGTAACAATACCAACAATTCTAAGTTTTTGAATAAAATTATAGGGGAGAATGAAATTAAAGGCTGTGTACTGAATCTGATATAGCACCTGGTAATTTGGGAATTATTTCTAAGTATCATCTAATTTGATTGCCTTGACAATCTAAAAATTATGGTTCTGCCTACAGTGGCATTCAGTATCAGCAAGGAAACTGAATTTTGGAAACTGTTGATCTGCCCACAGTGATATTACTAATAAACAGCAAATCTAAGCACAGCATATAACTCTAATTTGGAACCTATTCAAACAAACCAGCTACAGTCATAGAACATGCTTTGTATGATTCCAATGCATTTAAATTTGTTGGGGTTTAGTTTTTGGCTCAAAACATAATCTATCTTGGTGAATATTCCATGTACCCTTGAGAAAAATATGCATTCTGTGATGGATAGATAAAAGTGTTCTATACATTTCAATAGATTATCAAACCAACTAGAAGAATATTATGAGACAACTGAGGAAGTTAAATTATTTGAACGTTATTATGGTTATATGTTACACTGTTATTATCTAAGAAATGAATCCTTACGTTTTAGAAATATATACTAAAATGTTTGCAATAAATGTCACAATAATTGAGATAAGCTGGATGGAGGGAATATATGAGGGTAAAAATTAAACCAGTGACAAATTGTCCATGCTGAGTAATGGGCACATGGAAGGTGATTAGATTGTACTTTCTACTTTTTACAATTGGAAATTTTCAAGTAAAAAGTGCTATTCAAATCTCGCTCTCATATTAAATGAAAAAAAAAAAATCGGTTTTCAAATTACCAGGCCCCCAATATTTTATTATATGCCTATTTGTTGATTACTTATGCTTCCACCATGCTAATTTGCCTAGTATATATTGTCCAGATATGATACAATGATCTGTAGGCTCAAAAATCATTAATTTGTAATGATCTTATGTAGTGATTTATTTACTCATTAATATACTAGACCATATCAATTTGCATTTATTATGTGAAAATTAAACATCACCAAAGAGCACTTGCTTTAGGTGAATAATTTATATACTACACAAGAGATTCAAAGTTGTACTTTCCATTAATTTACCAATGTTGATATTTCAAATACTACTCCTGATTTTTTTATGTTCATAATTTTTAAACATTGATTTGAAAATATGCATATAAATAAGAATACATCAAGAAGCCACTTACTGAACATTTAAGTTATTCAATAATACATATATTTTATAAAATAATTACTTATGAGTCCATAAACACTGATTCCACCAATGGGTTTGGGAATATAAGCTTATTCTTCAAATCTGTCACAACTTCTTAAATGATTTCATAGTCAGTCTATAACAGGAGAGGTTTTCCCAATCAACAAACTGATTTGTTCTCATTCAGTCAGGTTGTATCATAGACACAGTTCTAGAATTCTTTAAGATTTAATTATAAAATATTAATGCCACCTTATCTAAAAGCTGTAAATAAAGAAGATGTGGATAATACTACAGAAAATACATTAGCCTTTTCAAATTAGAGCTTAGAAGACACTATTGCTATTTTTCAAAGCATGGGATCCCATACTCAGAAGGCATTGCATCTTTACTTACCCTCGCCCAGGAAGAAGGTATACTTTAACAAAAGGGTCAGAATAACCATTGTTGTCTCGAGGGACAAGGTTTCTTGCTTGGAGAATGTGTATTATGAGATTTCCAAGATCATAGTTGATTTGAAGCTGAAAGGTGCAGCAAAGTATTTTGTGAACATTATATATATATATAAAAATATAATACATTATCAGTCAATATTATACCAGTAATTTTTAAATTCTCATACAGAATATTAACCCACATTCCTATTTTATTTGAAACTGAACAGACCAGCTAGTTTCTAATTTAATTGGGAGCTTCCAGGCACATGCTAAGTATGAGTAAATGCACTGTTGAGTTTTTCTAGGTGAGATGCTAGCATGTCTAAGATTCATTTATATAGTGAATTGTGATTACATTTTTGAACTAAGTTTCTGCCCTGAAGAAAATATCAAATGTTATTAATCTTCATTAACACCTACCATGATTTTGAAAAAAAATTGATAATTTTTTTTTAGAAAATGTCATCTGCATTTTATCAAATAACTAGCAATGGGTAAAATCATTATTTAAAAGGAAAGTTGTCAATACTGAAAATTAATATATAAGAATGTATAGATTTTCACTCTTCCTATATTACCCAACATTAAACTCCTCTTTTCTTTCTGTGCTTGCTTTTGAAATAGAGGTTAGCATAATGAAATCTTGTTCTTTAATTTTAGAAGCTAAAAAGGAAAGAAGACACATTGCCTCAGAGATGTATAATGGTTATTGTACAATTGTCATTGAATAGTAAAAGATTTACAATTCAAATAAATAATTGAGAAGGCTGCATAATTCAAATATTGAATTAACAAATTTTTCTCCTTGAAAACTGAAAGATTCTTCTAGCATTATTTGGAATAAGGCTTTAATTCTGCTGGGTGGTGTTTTTGTTTATCAAATAACGGAAAGGAGAGTACCTAGGTTTCAAAGGAGAAATTCAATTAATCAAACTGTTAACAAAGTTTAATCAAACTGTTTGATTAAAACATAGTTTTTAACAAAACAGATATACTGTTTATGTTGAACATTAGATAATGTAGGTAAGTCAAATTTCACTGAAGATCTAGTAATTAAAATAATTCCCAATTTTAGCATCATTTTAATTTGGTTATATTTTCTGGCAGAAAATAAATTTCTATTGTCTTTCTCAGTTCAGAAAGTCCAGAGTCTCTCTGACCATCATAAAAGCAAAGTGAAACATACAGCTAAGTGATATAAAGGAACAGGAGAAATGGGAAGTTTGTTACTGCAATCACTGTGCTGTAATAGGACACTGACATGTAGGATAAAATCACCCTGTAATTAATTTCACTGAGATTTAGAACAAGTTCCGGAATCTTTAAGTAGCTATTCTACCCCTTTTTCTCCTTTCCCTGCCAAAAGACTACTTTTAATTGATCAGATACCAGAACAATTTTTTAATTAAAATAAAACCTTGCAGGTTTTTGAAGAGATTAATTTTCAAAACTTATTCTGTAGCGTTTTAGAGAACACTTAAATACCCCAGGGGTTACTTCTGAGAAAGAATGATATCCTCAATCAGAACATCTCAGGGGCTGGTGGATTCATGGTTTGGGTTATCTACATAACATTTCATTTAGAATAAAACTTTACTAAAGGAAAATAATTGAAATCACTGCATAAGAAAATATCTCAAGTAAAAGGAATATTGATAAATTTCCACTATTGAACTAAATTTTACTGCCCAGGGAAGAAGAAAATAAGAACTGAAATGAAGACTGTCAAGTCTGGTGACAAACAGGCTTTCTAGACACAGGAGGCAACCCTCCAACAGTGAAACCTAGGCTCTGAACTACCTGCTACTTCAAAAGATGTCCATGTTTCTGTGCTTTTTTCTCTCGTTCCACTCTCATGCTCTACTTTTCCTTTTGTCAGTGTGCGCCAAAATTATCATTTAATTGATTGTCTTTTTTGTTCTCTCCTTTGTAATCTTTCCTGTAGGCCACTGCTGTATGAATTTTTATTACATATTCCTTTCAATTAGTCTCTCCCTTACAAAAGTATTTACTGATCTCCCTATTATAAAGGCTGACACCTCAAGACTTGTGTGCAAGGTTCTTTTTAATTAAGTCTCCACTTTACAGGAAAACAGCAGTAGAACTGACCTTTCCATCTATTATGGCAGCAGTGCCTTCCTTTCCTTGTACCATTTCTTTTTCCAGGAACACACTCCCCTCTTCTCTATGCTTACCCTCAAGTTAGTTCAAATCTCTGTGATCCTTTGTGAAGTTGTTGATAAAAACTGCCTGCCTCTAGAATGTGTTGGAGATACAGCTAAGACTTACTGTTCACTGCTTCTTATTTGAAATGTACTATCTTCAAATGGTTCTTATTTTATATTGTGTTAATTTTTTTTCTGTACCATTTCTTATCTTCCTTACGCTACTTTTAATATCATCTAAAGCACAGGTTTCTGACATTTTTGATTATTACCATGGTAACAAATATATGTCAAGATAAAATACATGGCACAGAAAGATACATAGAACTAAAAAAGATGGTGATTTATACTATTTTTCAGGTCAAAATCCTCTAAACTGATTTCATAAAAATTACAAATTGGCATCAACTCCAGTATGAAAAATACTGTTATAGAAGAAGCTGCAGCATTTAACAATTTTTAATGCTGAATATTTAATATTCTGTATTTACACATTTCTATATTTATAAATGTAAAATAGAAAACATTTTATAAAATATGTATTATATATTATGTATAAAATCTGTATTTTATACATTATATATAAATATTTTAAAGTTTATATAATAATATAGGAAACCAGCATATAAGTGAAAATTTGTTAGCTACTGATAAATTTCATTTGCTAAATTAAATATTTAGCAGTTATTGTTGATTAGAGGAAGAGGACAGCATTAGACTGATGAAAATTTTAAAAAGGAACCTGCAAATTTTCAGGAGAATCTGACACGAGAGTAATATCTGTACACACCAGGCAAACTACTAGCTCAAGGTACTTATACTTCCACTAGTCTGAAACACATTCATCAAGTAAAAAGTAACTGAAGCATAAAACAATGATACTGTTAAGATGTCAGGTAGATTTAAAAGTATAAAATTCCATAGACATAATTAGATTCATAACATACATACTTATCTTAAAATACTATTTTATAAAACTGCATTTTTCCTTTATAGGAAAATTTATATGTTATAAAATAAAAAAAGGTTGCAATAGTATGTTTACAATTTCAATATATAAGTGAAACGAGCCAAAAAAAGATAGTTATGATTTTTTTAGAAAACACCCATACCTGAATTTCTCCCGTAATTGGATGAGAGACAATCTTTGTTGCATCAGTAGACTGTAATATTAAAAAAATATATTAATGAATAGAGCATTCATAGAATTTATCATTTCAATTGCCTTCTGAAGTTAATTTCTATTTGATCAGAGCACTCTACCTGGAAAATATACTTCACTCATTCAGCTGCTTCAGAATATGATATCTATGTATACTTCTCAATACAAATTTAATTTTCCAGATACATAAATCTATTTTTCATTTTGGAGCTATAACTTACTGTTTCGGAGTGATACTGTTATTCCTGTGGTAATATATTTTCGATTACTTAAGAAAATGAGTAAGTGAATACTTTCTTTTAATGTCCTTAAAGATCTGTATAGTAATGAAAAACAGTATTTTTGTACAAGCGCTGCCCAGGAGCACAGCAGACACAAAGGTCTGTTCTTGCACTCCTTTGTTGGCTGCTCAACACCTCACTGCTCCCTTCCAGAGTACAGGGTAATCATTTCCTAATATTTCACACTCCTTAATTAAAATTTCATCCCACCTATATAAGATTTCATTTCCTTAATTAATTCTATGTCAGCTGAGCCTTAAAAACAGTGAAGAAAATTATCTGGAAACTGATTCATACTTCCAAAAAAACAGTTCCTGACTTGCTTTAATGGAATATTTGTATAAAATGGGAGATGATGTCCCTGAATTTCAGGCAATGTGGTACCAATAGAGGAGAGAGAGTTATTAAAATGGCTGCCAGCTTATTACCTTATTTCCTACATAATGTTAGCTGATTTTACTAACTAGAAAAAGAAAGGTCTGGAATATTTAGACTGAAGTACTTGTTCTGCTGTTTCTTCATATTTTTAATCTAGAAATGAAAGTTATCAAAAGGAGGGTGCTATGGTTCCATCTAGGTGATGTTCTGTGAAATAACTAAAGTATAAAAAGATTACAATCACTGATAAAAGTTATAGGGTAAGGGCTAAATTTTGTCAGCCACATAACCTTCATTATTTCAGCTCAATTATAAAAAAAGTGCTATTATTTATACAGAATCTGGTGGCAAAATATAAACTTTTCTAAGTATTTGAATAATTATATTTTCCTTATATAATTAAATTATATTTATAATTATAATACTTTATTGCTGAAGTTTTAAGAAAATAAAACTGAATTGAGAGAAAGACAACCACACAAGTGCTTGAAACTACATCTCACCTAAAGATGGGGAGTTTACTAAAACCAGATATTCTTATATTTCAATGTAGGAAAATTAGGGAGTAACTGCGATAAAAATTTAAAAATAGGACCTAAGAAAGCAGAGTGATTATTACCAAATTATTTTGTTTTGTTTTTGAGAATTATAGCTCATTTGACCTATGATCATCAAGTGTATATAGAATAACACAGAATAAACTGAAGTACCATTTTTAATTGTTCTGGGGTGTGGCAGTAAATTTTAAAGGGCAAAGTGGAATATTTTAATTTACAGGAAGAAAGAGTAATATTTGTGCACACCAGGCAAACTACTAGCTCAAGGTACTTATACTTCCACTAGTCAGCTTCTTTCCTTTCAACGAGAGCATATCTTTGTGAGGCTGGTTTTTGATGATTGTTGTGATTAAAAATGTACTGAAAGAAAATCCCACAGATCAGTGTGGAACAGGAGATGAGTGTCAGCACTACTCTGAGTCCATGGTTTGAATAGTGTGCAATGCCTATCAGTACACACAATTCATTGAAAAGAACTTAGTTGCTCACAATGAAATAAAATAATGAAATCTATTTCATTTTATATGTATTTTTTCCAATGGTTACTCTGATGTTAGGATATAAATACTAATTAAACTGTTTGGATCTAACTACTCGATAACTAAAACTCTTTTCAGGACTTAAGGACATCATGAAAAAAATGACTGAGACTTTTATGGTGCCAGGACCTGTGAAATTTGGAAAAAGAGGAAATATTTTATAAGAACACTTAAAACTAATGTATACTGGAGCTAAAGAATTTATACTATGAGTTGGAAGAAATATTCAGACATTAAAGATAAAATGAAGAATGTTTAGTCAGAATTTCAGAGACAAAATAACTTGAGAACTGTAAAAAAAATGAAGATCAATTCATATTGAATTAATTTAAAGAAAATAACTTAAAGTACTTTAATATTTTCATATGTGCATTCTGTTGTCAAGGTAATTAAAATTCTGCTGATTCAATATCTTTTACTGCATATTTAGCAAGTAGCTATTATATAATTTGGAACCAAAAACTTTCATTCAGATTTATTGAGTATTAACATAATTTAAACATGGAAAAAGTAACCAAATATTTCTTTTGTAATTTAAGTGTATTTAAATCATTAAGTTCATGTTTCACCTATATTTATTCAGAGACAATCAGAGTTGTATTAATGCATTAATAATTATGAGTAATCATTTAAAATGTCAATTAGATGGTGTTTTAGGTGTCTAAATGCATGAATATACTAACTATAATTTAAATATTTTAGTTTTAATACATTAAATTTAACATATTTTAAAGTTTATTTAGTCTCATATGTAATAAAAACATAGAGAAGTTATGACTATTATTCTTTTAGTTATTGAAGAACATAATATATGTATATATATTACATTGTCTGACTCAAGGATACATAAGCTTCAAACCATCATTTGATGTTCCTATAATCTCTCAATATATAATTTCTAACATTACAGGATTGGGAGAATAAATAAAGTACTACCTTTTCTGCATATTACATTTTGATATGTCAAGAAATATCAGTAAATTAATTCATCCAACCATTCATTCATTCAGCAAAAATGTTTCAGAAACTCCGTACTGGCTAAATAATAATGATAAAACCAAAAAATGATGAATAGTTAATAGTCATTAACTATACCTCAAGAGTATTAGCATTTAATGACTAAACATTTCAGTTATGACTATACATATATTATTACACCCATATATCTCAAATAAATACCATTATCATCCAAATAGAATAATATGTGAGTCATATAGGACATTTTAAGTATTCTAGTAGTCACATTCAAGACATAAAAATTAGCAGGGAAAACTAATTTTAATATTTATACAATCTATGTAGCCCAATATATTAAAAATGCTGTAAATACACCACAAATTAATCTGTTAATTATAATGAGATGTATTGCATTATTTTTTCATACTAAGTCTTTGAAATTTGTGAGGTAACACACATACAAAACACCTCAGTTAGGACCAGCTACATGCCAACTGCTCAACTGCCACATTTGGGTAGCAGCTACTGTTATAGGCAGTGCACATCTAATGATTTGCACTTTAGCAAATACATATAGGTCACATTTTTTGGCATAGGAAAGAATTACATGTGTCACAAAAACTGTCAGTATCATTTCCATAATATTTGTCCTGTAATATCTGCTTTCATATTCTACTCTTCACCAAAAAAAGTTAACACATTAAAAAATCAAATATTAAATCCCTATAATACTACAGATTCACAAGTGTCTTTGATGTTAGATCCAAAATAACTATTCTGTTACTGTCTTGTGCAAGCATCTACTATATATTTAGGGGATTATAAAGAAAGAAAGAAATGGCTTTGGCTCTTAACCAGGTTGCAGCCAACTGGAAGGATAAACAAGTACAATCAACATATAAACATCTGACAGTTGTGGGGAGAGAAGAAAGAAGACAGTATAATCTGTGACTTTAGGAACGGATTAGAATATGTAAATACTTTCCAGAGGAAGGCTTTCTGTATTATTTTGCTTAAAGCTCATCACTGGCCCTTTATTTCCTTCAAACTATATAAAAGTCAGGAATGGATTATAATGACTTTAACAACCATTTAGGCTTCTCCTTTATCTTACCTATATATCTTTTTTACACCTATGATTCGGGAGTGGAATTTTCTGCTTCTGAAATTTTTTTCATGCTGTATCCTCTGCTTGGAATATCGCCCTCTCCCCCACCCTTTACCAAATGGGTCTATTAACTAAATACCAACTTTCCTAACACCACTCTCCTAAGTGCTCTCACTCTACTTCTTAATGACTTCCAACATTACACCTTTATTGCCTTGGTTTACATGACATTCTTCCTCTATAATTAGGTCAGCACTTCAAAAAGGCATTAGGCATTTTACTTACTCTAAGAAATCATTAAAACCCAGGTTGCCAGGTCCCTTCCCTAAAGTTTCTGATTGAGCAGGTCTAGGTCAATAATTTGCATTTTTAACAATTCCCAGATGATACTAATCTTATTGGAGCTGGAGAACACCTTAAGAAACACTGGTCCAAGTAGTACTCAGGGGAGGAATTTTATCTATCTTTGTATCTTGGATACCAAGTATGACTCCTGACATTGAGGTGGCCTCTAAAAAGGTCTGGGGAAGCAGGAATAAATTGGAAGCCCTAAGTATTTATTAGCAAGGCTATTAATAAAGATTTGACAGCATTATGCTGTCAAACCTCCCAAGGAAAAGCATTGATGAAGCCCTTTTGGAGCCAACAGAATAGGATCCTCAGTGCAAGTTGTACAACAGATATTCCAGGTACCAGGGATGACTTTCAAAGAGCATAGTGACCCAATTAGATCATTGTGCCACAGATCAAAGAGTTGGAGCAAAGTTTTAGAGGAAGGAAAAGAGACTGATGAATGTGTTAGCAGTAGTGAGTGCAACAATGTTGGCAAATATAATGTTAAATGATAACAGCACTTCAGAGAAGGTAGAAAATTACTAGAGACTTACTAGAAAATTAGAACTCACAGGAGTCAGTGACTGATTGGATTATTATGAATAAAGAGAAAGAAGAGCCATTGTGTTCTTAAATTTATATTTCACTTGCTGAGATGATGATAATGTAAATTGCTAAAATTAAAGATTACAAAAAAGACACACGATGTGTGAGTCTGGAAACTGCTAGTAGTGTTTTTCATGTATTTAAGGTTTTTTAGATGGATATACTGAGAAAGCAATAAGAAATATCAACTTGTAGCTGAGGACACAGCTCCCAGCTAAAAATAAAATTGGAGAAAGCAAGCATATAAACATTTGAGGCAGATTTGACCAAAAGAACATTTTAAGAAAAAAATCAAAGGAACCCTGTATCTGTATTTTCTAATATGAGAAAAACCTGAAAGTTCATAATCTATTTTCTACTTTTAGTTAAGGATCCCATTAGATTTATTTTGTATGTACCTAACAAGTAGTGATTAAATAACAAATGGATATATAGAAAATCTAAGAATATAAAAAAATATAGGCAATATTACATGAGATTGTAACTGCAACATTTATGAAGAAATGATCTTCAAATGCTTATAAATTAAAATTAACATAAGATGGAAACACAGAAAACAGAAACTAATATGAATTATAATGGTATTTCATCTGATTATAGATTTTATTTTTTAAGGTAACACCAATTTATAACATTGTTACAGATTATTATTAACCAGTTATCAAAACAGAGCCCCTGTTAGGAAATTCTTCAAACTTGACACATAGCTGCACATGGTAAAACACAGTTGTGTTAAAATTTATTTTGAAATTGTCTAAATATGCTTGAAATTATTTTTAGTGAAGACTTGCTATGTTTAGTTTGAAACAAATTAATTTTTCATCCAGTAATTAAGATCATCTTACCTTTGTTGTTTGCTTCTGAATAAAAGGGAATTTTGGTGACATCTGCTCATCTTATACTTAGTAAAACAAGCTTTGTATTGTGAAGCACAGTCATCTTACTCGAAGCATAGCTGGTTCCTTCCAAATATCTCACCACATTAAAAAATACCTTTATTCATTATTAAACAAACAAACAAAGAAACTTTTCCAATACCCCTATTGACCATGCAGAATGTTTCTCTATTAAGAGTAACATCTGTGGGCCTGGTGGCGCAGCACTTGAGCGCTGGGTTGCGAAGCTGCCTGCAGCCTCTGCAGCGCCGGTTCGATCCCCGGCTGCTCCCTGGCCACCAGAGGAGGGTCTCACATGGTGCGCAGACCTCTCCTGCGGCCCGCTGCTCCCCTCAGCAGTGTGCTTCGGTCTTTCTGCCTGCTCTGCTCCCCGCTCTGGCTCTGGTGAATTCTTTCACCCTCCCGCGCTTCTGACTGTACCCAGTGCTTGTATAAATAAATAAATAAATCTTCAATAAATAAATTAATTAATTTTAAAAAAGAGTAACATCTGTGAGGGAGAAATTACACATTGCCTATATTTATAGCTGCTTTTACAAGGAGAATTAATTAATTCTGTGTTCTTTAGTTCTCCAATAACTTTGAAATAATGGTGTTAGAAACATTCTTTCAAATAAAGATTTACATCAAGTGAAATTTATTAGTTTGGAACTAGGGATATAATTTAAAAATGGCAATAATATGGCTCTGATTTTCCTTGCTTAAACATCTTTACTTAATAAATAAAATTTCGAAATATTCCTAAATTCTCTTTATCTCTGTTTCTGTTTTACTATTTGTTATGAAATCTATGCAAGGTATATCTTGTTTCCCAAAGACACATTGCTAATGTTCCACACACAAAGACTCAGATTTATGCAAACACAAAGAAAAAGAACTAGGAAATATGAAGCATCAGACTTCTTTTTCAAGTGACTTATAACTGTTAAAATATTTTAAGAGATGGAGAAATCCATTTATCTTGATCAGCTATTTACTCAGAAAAGTAAAAGGTGTTTATTTCAATAGATAATTAAAAAAAGAAAAAAATCACAAGAAAAACAGCTTTGAAAATGATATTTTATTATGTCTTGATCTGAAAAAAGAGCTAGAAAATAAGTAAGCAGAGGTCACACGGAACACTGCTCACCTTGCCGCTGCCATGCTTCTTTTTGCTCACGGAGGGTGACCCAGGTTGCCCGGGGCTGGGAACAGAACTGGATCCTGCTGAAGTAGGACCTGAATGAACGTGAGATCCTTTTTCAACCACTGATGACAGAACCAGTGGCGACTGCTGGAGAGAAACCTTCTGGAGCTCTGCTGCCAACTGCTTTGGATCCACCCCTGGGGATTTTGCTTTATCCACTACAACAAAATGAAATGGCTTTACATATTCCTCAGCTTCATAAGTACTTAATATCATGGAACTTATTGAGGTCTAGCTGACAAAATATAACTTATAATACAAACTAACTTGAAAAAATAAATGAACTAAGTTTTTACTGTTTACATATGTATATCTAAAGAACTTTCAAAGACTCAGAAAGGAGTAAATAATGCTGATTAACAGAGGAATATGGAGTTTCCTACTGTATCTTCAGAGAAATGTTTTTAATGTTTTTTATAGAACTGTGTGAATAATTAAAAATTCTATTTTATCTTCAATAATTTAATTTGTATGATTGGTTATTCTGTCTTCTCTAAATCTTATATAGCTTTTCATAAGGCAGAAATTTCAAAGGGTATGCTTATGTTGCTAGATGAATGAAGATTCCTCTGGGCCTTGATCTGTTTTTTTTTCAGTGCAATAACCCAGACTTTTAGAATACTTCCTATGCTGAACAAAGGAAGGGCTCAATAAATATTTGATGAAGGAGTAAGTGATACATGTGATCTTATAATTGATCTAAATCTATATTTGTTAGCTAAGGAAGAGTTAAAACTATCTCATATGTACTTACAAAAATACATTATGATTTTATGTATTATAAGGAGGAAATCAAAAGGTTCAGAATAAGAGTTCTAAAATTCAGATATGCTATAGGGCCTCCCCGGTGGCGCAGCGGTTGAGCGCTGGGTTGCGAAGCTGCCCGCAACCTCTGCAGAGCCGGTTCGATCCCTGGCCACCAGGTGAGGGTCCCACATGGCGCGCAGACCTCTCCTGCTGCACCTGCTGATCCCCTCAGCAGTGTGCTTCATCAGTCTGTCAGTTCTGTTTCTCACTCTGGTGAATTCTCTCACCCTCCCAAGCTTCTGACTGTACCCAGTGCTTGTATAAATAAATAAATCTTTTTAAAAAATTCAGATATGCTAGAAAGAATCAAGTATAATCCAAAAATTATAGAAGAACAAAAATTAATGGTTCAAAAATTACTCTTATGGGATGAATTTATTTGTAAAGATTTAAAAATATGAAGTAACACAGCAAGAATTTCATATGAATTTCTATAATGCAATGCACAATTGTATTTACTAGAATGCTAACACTGTAGATATAATGCTTACATTGACATAAACATATAAATATCTACCTATAGCTCTATTTTTGCTCTATGCATATGTCTAAATCTTCATCTAGAAGCCAGTTACATCTGCCCTCTTTATCTACTTTGCCAACTACATCTTTGAGAACTGACTGCTTATGCCTACCAGCTTTTGGTGGTTCATGAAGTTCCAGATGCTGTGGATTTTCAGAATCTGATAGCATGTTGAGGTCCCTAAAAATTGAAACAAAAAATTTAAGAAAGAAATTGAGGAAGTCTGGACAAAAGACCCCCTTTTCCAACTACCCTGATTATTTTTTCAGTAGGTAAATGAGAAGTGGTTAATGATATAAAGCAATTTCAATGCATGCTCACCCGTCTAACCAAATATACATTTGCAATGCTGTTAAAAGTCAGAGCTGATAAAAATGATTATTTAAGGTGAAATCTTTATGGATTAAATGTAAATTCATCTTTAAGTACTATACACATCCATGAAATCTAAATGGGTTTAGGCTTTCATTTAAATGAGACATGTTTCAATAAAACCATGAAAGGGGAGAGCTATTGACATCATCAGAAACAAAATCAGCTGAATTCTTTCTGTGCTTTATTTAGACTTTGATTCTGAACACAAGGAATCTATAAAACTTGTATTCACTCTATTTTCTAATTACAGAAAGTCTTGCTGACTGGCAAAGGTTCCACCTTAACAATTTTAAATTAAAAGAGTCATGAATAGCCAAACAATGGAAACAAAAAGATGGGGAAAAACTCACAGTCTTACACATATTTCTGCTTCCCCACTTTGCTGACTAATGATACTCTGCACTTCTTCATATGTTTTAGAAGTTAAAGGAACTCCATTCCATTCCAATACTTGCATCCCTAAAAAGACAAATTTAAATATAAAATGAAAAATGTTGCCTATTTCTAATCTGGGTCCACAGGGTGTAGACGAAACCATTTTGTTTTTTAAAACCAACTTAGCACTCAGCACACCATTTCAGAACAGGAGTTCAATGTTCTCTGGAACATTATACCAAAATCATATGTAGTTTGATCTCATCAACTGACCTGAACAGATAAAATATATCTATTACAACATGTAAGACGGTACTTTTGAAAACCTACTAAATACAATCAAATGCATGCATTTTGTTCACACTGCTATAAAGAAAACCCATTATTGAATACACATTGCTTAGACCTATTTGGTGTAGGAAAAAGAACAACTACAACCACCAATACATTTTTTCAAAGGGAATAAGCAACTGACAGAATGTAAACTTTAAATTCTATGTACTTCATATTTTACAGTGGGGTAGTAGAAAACAAAGAATTTGCATTTTGTTGTGAAGCTCCGCTTAAGAAACTATTATAACTTCAACTTTGCCTGTAGTAATACAAGGTCTTGTGCTCGGCAGGGCCAATGCTTGGTTTAACATTTTGCTGCAACCACCTTGAAATTCTTAATAATGTCTGAACAAAGAACTGTACACTTTCATTTCATACTTGGTCTTGTAAATAGTGCTGCTGGGAGCATTTCATGTTCCCTCTCCATCTAAAAAGATAAATTTCATATAAAACATAGCAGTAACATATTATTTTAACATGATATATTTAGTTTTTAGTTTTTAGTCCATATATATGAGCTGCGAAAATAATTCAGGGCTTGTATCTGGCATGAATTACATAGTCCTAATATATCACTAGGCAATAAACATGAGCTAGATGTAAATTACATACATATGTGTGTATATATATATATATACACACACACACACCCATGCACATATATATATGTATATATATATACACACAAAAAAAAATTAGATGAAACCATCGAAAGTTATAGCGGCCCAAATATTTGTGAATGCTACCAGTCCACCTGAAAAAAAAAAGTCTATATGCTATAATGATTATAGTTTAAATACAAATCATGTAGAACAATTACTTTTTAAAAATATTTTTATTATGGTAGCATTAGTTTACAACACTGTATATGATTCAGATATACAAGCAATTAAGTTTTTAATGAGCTTCAAAGATGCCTATTTGAAATTTCCTATTGCATGCCAATGAGAAATTCTAAATATGGCATGACTGATATTCTGAGAGTTTTAAGGATTTTGATAACAGTGAAAAAACACATTAGCAGTTGCAATCAAGTAAAGGAAATGATATACTATAGTGAAATGGCAACAGAGGTCCATAAAAACACCCACAATAACACAAACAAGAATGCCTTTTCTATAACTTACTCCAAAAAACTTTATCTTCAGATGGGCCTTAGGTTTATTTCAACAATCCCAAGCTGTTATACACATAAAATGAGAAAATTTTATAAAAGACAGTGATAATACCACTAAAGAAAAAATTAGCATATAGGAAGAGGAAAAGCACATGGAAAAACACATCTTTTTTCAGTCAGGATAGAGCACATTTATGGACAAGTGATTTTGAAACAAAATGAATTAATGGCATTATAATCCAGAAATTGCATTGTCTTTTTTTTTTTTTTTTTTTGCAGGAGACATCTATGAAAAGAAACAGATGCATGATTTTCATGGTTTTTTCTCTGTTAGAGTCACTTGTTCATTTTTTACATCCCAAAAAGGGGCCAAATTTACAGAACACAATTATCCAGTCAAACAAAAAATGCTTCTAGTCACAAAAAAAGGAAAATTATCCAGAATCAATTAAAAATGCTGAAAAGATATACAGGTAACAAGGGTTTTCCTAGATGTACATAGGTCATGAGCTACATAATTTGCTCTGTTTCATGCATGATATATCAACTTCTTTCCTATCCCTGTTTTCCACCAGAGTTGGTATTGTACAGATGTTCAAGAGATTTTTGCCAATTCTTTCATCGAGGCTTGATTGCAATAGTATCAGTTATTAAAGGAACTGTGACTACTTAAACTGAAGTCACTTAATAACACCTACCTTCCTTTGTTTTTCCTAATTTCTACAAAGACTCTAAGAACCTTTCTAAAGTAACCAAGTGAATGTACAAACCCTCCTTTGGAATTCATAATGTGGTTTTTGCACTTGTAAGAATTAAGTATGATGTGATTTCAACTATATTTTGAAAGATACTTGTTCATTATAAAATCCCATAAACTATTTTAAAATGCTTATAAATAAAATATATGTAAATAATGATCATATGACATGTAAGTTCCACGAAATATTTGGTAAATTATTAAAATTCTGTAATAAGTACCTCAATGGCTTTTAATGTAAGATGACACCTCATAAGAAAAAAACAACATTGATAAGGCCTGGAGCTTATGCAATTTTAAGAAAACATACAAATCTATGAATGTAAAACTAGACACACATGAATTATTTGATAAAAATCTAAAAAGGCACTAAAATTAAACATTAAAAAGCTAGCAAAACCCATAACCACATATTTCTTCACTTGTCCCAGTCTTAATATAAAACAGTACAAGAAAGGAAGGAACCCTGAGAATTAAGTTTCATTTGTATCACACCCATTCTGATCTCATTTCTTTATTCCATGAAATTTGTGTCACAACCTTAATTCTAGTGCCTAAATTTCCATTTTATATAACATACTCAACCTTTCATGGCTCACCTACCATCACCATCCAAGTCTTACAAATCTTTGGGTATATAGTTTTTTCTCAAGATTCAATCCCCTAACCCTATACCCCTTCAATAGGTAAAGTGTCTTACAAGTATGCATTATAAGAGTGTCTTGCAGAAGATCCCTTACATTTAATGCGGAAGTCCTGTGACTTTCTGTGATTTGTCAAAAGTCACACAGACAAGGAGTTGATGAGAAAGATTGGTCCAGACACTGGGAGCCAGACATTTGACACCTAACCATGATTCTATTCATAAACAACATGTACTGTCAGAGACCAAGAAAGTTACACGAAAGACCAAGAAAGTTACACGAAACAGATATACATCGTATGTCTATAAATGTTTTAAAAATTTATTTTGGCCTGATATTTAAAATACTATACAGGTAGCAGAAGTCTGCAGCTGTCCAATACTCCTTTGTATGTAGTCTGAACTTTAAAAGATTAATAGTCATCTATGCAAATAATTTTATTTACCTTAACAAAATAGCTTCCTTAGACTAATGCTTTTACAGTTAACAAAGTTTGAAAAAATAATAGTTCCTTTCATACTAACTTAACACAGTGAGACATCTTGAAACATTTTAATGTAAAACTAAGATAAAAGAAGACTTAGAGAACATAAGAAACTTGACCAACATCACGAAGATTAATTAATTCCGGAGTATGACTCTATGTTTGTTCCTTTTCCCATCAGGGTTATTCTATTTTCCTGCAGTTCAGAACTCAAGCCCGACAACTAGATATTATCTATGCATGTTCATATATGGGGGATCCAGAATTCAAGGAAATATAGCAAATACTTTTACCATCACAGATCATCAAAATGAATGTAAGCAGTCTTTTCACTACTTATAGCAATACCCAACACCATATTTTATGTCTCTGAAACATTATTTCTATATCTGACAACAATTTTGCCAATTGTTACCCCAGTTTCCCAAAGGAGAACACCAAGGAACTAAAAGTTAAAATATTTATCCAGGCAGTAAATATCATAGCTGATTTTAAATCTAAATCTGTTTGACTCTGAAAATATTCTCTTTGTACATCAGAGATGTTAAAGCATTGACTGGTTGCTTCCAAAATAACCACTTACAGTTCACCCAAAATGTAACCTGTTCTATAATATACTGATTAGACAAATCCAGAAATTTTAGTACAGAAACAATTGTTCACCAAGAAGTAATATCACTTGAATACACATATGTATTTCAAGGCATGCCACTGTTGTGGAGAAAAACAATCGAATTAGGGTTTGGAGTATTGTATATACTAATGTATATACATAAAACAGGGCAAGTACTTCGTTTTTTCAGGTCCCTATCAGAAGTATTATAATTCATAATTTTTCTCCAATAAAAACACACAGTTTTTTTCCAATATATTTCAAAACAAGGGGATAAAGAAGAGAAATATCTTTCCTGTCCTGGCAGGCATTACAGTTAATCATTAATACCCATGTAAGGTAAGTATGATATCACTGTATCCTAAAAATAATGTATTACAACCTACCAGTCAGGTACACCTTTATATTTTTCTTTCAACAAGGTAGTTTCCTAAATATGTTATTCTTTGTATCAACATGAAATGTGATCTTGTGTCTTGTGTGTCTGATACACCAGGCTGCAAGAATTTTGAGAAATCTCCATGCTAATGACCAATCCGTACCTGGTAATCCCCCTGGAACAAGAACAAGGAAGCTCACTCATCTGTGTGGTGTTTTTCTTGATCGCCAACTTTGATCACTGCCATGCCATCTGTAACATATGCCAAAAAAGCATAAGCAGAAATAGAGACTTTCTTGCCTAGGAACATTCTCCCTTAAGTTGCACAGGAATGTGTCTTTCAATTGGAAACTAGATCCTCTAGCATAGATGTCTTCATAACAGGGAATTCCAGAGGCCAACTTCTAAAATAAAAATCACCACACCAAAAATAGCAATCTCACCTCCACTCTAATCACTATTCTCAACCATAAATCCAACATCGTATTCTTGCCATAAACCCTGTCAATTCATCTTTACAAAGAGCTTGCAAGCTAGATCAGCAACACCTACACTGCAAGAATTTGAAATATCTATGAATTTGATTTACAACATAGGCACATTTCCTCACAGAATAACACTTAGATGAACAGAGATGAACTGAGTTTACAGCTTAATAACTTGGTAGAAGCTAACCTTCTACATAGCTCTGGGTGAATCTACAAACAAACCTTAGATATCATTACTTTTAACTTTGTACTCTACTACTCTGTTTCCA